TAACAATATGATAAAAAGATTGTTAAAAGTAACTTAACAGAATAAAAATATTTTAATTATATTTTAATTATATTTTATTATATTTTAATTATATTCTTATTATATTGTAAATATATTTGGCAAAATCAAAGGTTTCTGCAAAGATTTCCTTAGAAGTATCATCATTTTTATTTGGAATTTGTAGAAACCTCATATATAATATATTAGTTTAAATACTACAACCTGACTGATTGTAATAAAATTGGTATTAGCAAGATGCTGTATAATAAGCATCTTTTTAAGCATACTGTGAATAGTTTTGTATATTTTGTGATTTATAATTGTGGGCTGATTGTTAATTTTGTAATTTGCAAGTATCATGTTGTATAAATTTGTATATTCTTTCTGGTATACTGGCATAGTTTTAGGGTTTCTAGAAAATATAGTGAAAATCTTGTATCAAAATGTTTAAACTTCAGATAGATTGCAGAAGGTAGTTTGTATTAGGTAGAAGTAAAGCCAATTTTGTGTTGCACAATCAGTATATTCTATCAGGAGTCTGGTGTGATGTAGCTATAGTATCATATGTCTAGTTGTTGTGATCAAATGGTTGCTTTGTAACTTGTACAATTTTGCTTACAATCTGCTATACCTATACTGTACTATTGAGTATCTTAAAAGTAAATAGATTAAGGTTTTTGTGTATAACTTGGCTGTAGGATAGTTTAACTGTTTCAGTAAAGTCTATAGTAGTATTTGTAAATGTGGATGAAACTGTTAATGGTGATAGTAGTACTAGTATATTATTTGTAGTAGCACTAATTAGTGTGAGTCTAGGTGGTGTTTTGTTACTACGGGTCTCAGTTGATTAGTAGGTATATAAGTATTCTGGTAGCTAATATTATGACCAGATATGTTGACTTAGGCTGCTAACTATTTATTTGTTTTGTATGAGCTAGAGACTGCAGCTGAAAAGCTGCCTGCTGTCACGACACAAGATGTAGCTGGAATTTAAGCACGGCACAACGAAAATTTTATTGAACAGACTAAAGAGATAAGTATACAATTTCTTTCTTTTTATCTTGCTATTCTTCTATTACTAATTACTAATTGCTATCGTATGATTGCTGAGGTTCTACGAAACTATGACTACATTGTTAATGCATGGCTTTGTTATTACAACTGGGTTACTTCATTTCTTATGCAAATGAAGTCTTGGATTCATAACGAATCTGGGCTTCGGGCTTGAGTCACGGAATTGAGTCACGGGCTTGAGTCGGGCTTGAATCAGACTAGAGTCACGGGCTTGAGTCGGGCTTGAGTCACGGGCTTGAGTCGGGCTTGAGTCACGGGCTTGAGCGACTTGGCCGTGTAACTGTAACACCTGCTATATAACTTTTAATAGAACAAGTACTAGTTTTGCCTTTGTTGTTTAATGTGAGCTTTGTAATACTGACAGAATTGTTTTGGTTTGTGTTCTTATTTGTGTCAATTTCTGGAATTAGATTATATGAGATAAATGCTAAGTCTTTAGAATATTTTGGTATCTGGTATGACTTTTGTGTTTGCTCATATGCTTTAATTGTTACTTCTATATTATAGCTATACATGCCGATAAAATTATTTTGGGTTTTGGGGTATAAAATTAAAATTTGAAGACAAAATTGTTTTTGACCTATTTTATTTAAAAGACAAAATTTTTTGATATTTTTTTTGAAGAGACGAAATTATAAAGAATATAACTACCTAAATTAGATTTGCTCTTGCATATAAAAAATTCTAAATTGCTCTAATAGAAACAAAATAGAGTTTTTTTGAAAACCTATTTTGGTAGCATGTATAGTTACAGCTATGGGTAGCTTTAGGCAATTTGGTGTTAATAATTACAGAATTGCATTTGGTGCTTGTAAAATCAAATAAGATTGATTTAGTTGTATTACTGTGTTTGCTTATCTATTGTGTAGAAAATTTAATCATGTTTAGTATATTTCTGATCTGAGAGAATTTCGCAGTAAAGAGAAATTTGTTGGTGAATTCTGGGATATGAAAGATAATAATAAATGTAAGTTTGAACCAATCTTTAATATTAATGTCAATGAATTCTTTTGTGTATTCAGTAGCTGCATGCTTGGTTGGAGTTGTAGATATTGTAGTTTTTGAGTTTGACTTGTTAGTGAGATAGATTAGAGGGTTAATGAGAGAGAAGCCGCTGAGGAGGTAGTATTGGTGGATACTTGTTGAGTAATTATTTCTGGTTCTATACAGATGTGATTGTTGTTAGTAGTTACTATAGTCTTGCTGCTAGTTGCAGTGTTAGTTATTGTGGAAGAGTCTATAGGACCAACTTTACAAAAAAAGAGAAAGTTTGTCAGAGGACTGCTTTTTTCGTTTTCCACCTATGGTGTTGGCAGAAGGGGTTTTGCAACTATTAGTGTATACTCCAGTCTGAAATTTGGAAATCAGGTTCTAGAAAGATCTACAAACAGGTTCATGTATTTGATTGATTGTTATACTTCTTTTTATGCATGTATTCAGGCTGAGGTTTTACAAAATTTTATATATTCATTTATTACCAAATGATATATAGATAGATAATAAAAGCAACAAACCTCAATAATCTCACAAAGTAAATTGTCTACAAAAAGGTAAATAAGATCATAAATTTATGTTTATTTCTATATATTGTCAAGTGAAAAGAAAAGAAACCCCATATTTTTTCTAGTATACTAATATGAATAGAATGAATATATAACACAATAATAAGAATGAACATAGCATA